CTTAGGGCGGCCTATTGACCCGTTTCCCGTCAACGTATCGAGCTGAAACTTGGCACGTAGACTCGTTTCGAACACAAGACATTTCGTCAAATTTTGAGCCCCAACCTTTCAAAAATCATTTTTTAAAAGGGGGAAAATAAAATAAAATTACTGATAACTGCGCTAAATGAAATTGTTTTGTTAAATATCGCCAGTGCGTTTTGTTTGTAATATTTTCTTTTGTTTTTTTCTAAAATTGTTGGTGAAATAAATCTGCTGTGTAAAAAATGTCGTAAAAATGGTTTGGTATTTATATTAATCCCTAATAAAAACAGGAGCAAATCTATTAAACACATGGGAGAGGAAAGTTCTCAGGAAAATATATGGGCCAACAAAGGATGAATATGGAGGGAGAATACGAACCAACCAGGAATTATACAGTCTATATCAGGATCCCACGATAGTGGCAGAAATAAAAAGAGGCAGGCTACGCTGAGCAGGACACCTAGAGAGAATGCCAAATGACAGAAGAACAAAGAGGGTACATCACTAATACCCCAGAGGAAAAAGGCTCCAAGGCAGACATAGGCTTAGGTGGATAGATGATGTAGACAAAGATCTACAGCAGCTGAAAGTCCAAGCATGGAAAAAAAAGGCATTAGTTAGGTCTGAGTGGAAGGAAGTGGTGAGGCAGGCCAAAGCCCTACATGGGCTGTAGCGCCACAGGGATGGATGGATGGAATTATATTAATGTTGTTCAAGGGGCCGGGGGGTGAAAAAATGTGCGGTTACGCGCCCTGGGGAGCACTGATTGGATTTTTTTAAATAAAGAGCGTTACCTGAATGCGTGTTTTGTCCAATGTTCAGCCCCGCCCCCATTGGTCGATATGACATTTTACAACGGATTGATACGGAAAACTTTGTCGTTATGGATTGTTGAATTTATTTACATTTTTTTTCACCAACCCACGATTTTATTTATCGTTACATAAACACTATGGTAGATAAAGAAAATGCATTTTTTTTTTGTTCAATGCATGTCTATGTTGATCGCGTAAATTCATATAAATGTAATATTTCTTTTCTTTCATTCAATTAGAAACCAAAATTATTTCAAATTGCGATAGTTACCCGAGGCGTCGAATTAAAGTGTTTACCGCACCGAACTCAAAATTTCGCTGTTACCGAAGCAAATTCAAAGCTCTAAAATATATATATATATATTTTAGCATACTTTAACTAAAAAAATTAAAACAAGCGTTAAAACGCATTCAAATGTGGAAAATATTTTTTTAATTTCTCAAAATCCGTTACGCAAATAAATATTGTGCAGAAGTGTAGACTAGTATTCTATGAACACAAATGATTTGAATTAAATGTACAAAAAACTTAAATATGTTCTATTTTTATTGATTTTTTGTAAGTTCCGCACAGACTTTTTCCGTAATAAATTGTCAGAACTTTTAAATTACTCTCTTTCTATCTTTTATTGCGTTTAAACTCGTCTTTGTTAGAAATATGGGGGCTACGGGATGTTTCAGTCTTCAGAATATTTCTTTTATTATCAAAATTTTAGTATTAAAATTTTAATGTTTAAATATAGACTAAAAGTAAAATTCATTTTTTTAAAGACATCCATCGCTTACAAAACATGACTTAACTCTTTCCCCAGGCATAATAGATCTGAGCTCACTCACCCACCCGTTCACTCAATGAAGCAGACGCGGTTAACCTTTAAAATTTAGCGGGAGTGTCAACCTGCCTCTCTCAACCCAGTATTCTTTTCCAGCCATTCACCAGATGAACACTGCACTTGAAAGACTAAACTTAAAGTGTCACTTGTGTAAACCAAAAAAAAAAATATAAAAAAATCAACAACGGTCCACATGCAAGATGCTAATACGAGTAGAGAGAAAGTCTATAATAGTTTGTTTTGTTTTTTTAAATTACTCTCCACACACAAGATGGAAAAGCGAGTAGAGGAACTCTTTTATAAGGGTTTGATTCTTATTGCCGCTTTAACACGTTGGGAAGCTGCTCTTTTTTTTAAGTCTGATTTTCTCTCACTTCAAGCAATACCATACATGCTCAATATTTTGTTGTTGTTGTTGATAACTGCATATCTTTCCTCAATTACGTAAATAATGATAAACGAGCGCGTGTCCTTAAGACGTTGGAGGCTGTCAGGGAGCATTCATATCTAACTAGGAAAGTTCTACAGTTTTATTCAGCCGTAAGAACTATTGCTTTGTATTGTCGTGTTCATCCCTATTATCTGGCCCACTTGTCCTGCGATCTGCAGTCCACTTGACATACGAGACCAGGGAGGGGGGGGGGGTCTCTCATGTCCACTCGCAGTGTCGGCCAGTGGACTGAACTGTGGTAGTGTCTGTTTCCGTCAAACCTTCGTGGAACAGCTTGACATCTGCTCTAATGATGTAACACAAGGATGTGTAAAAAGTGATGCGGTGATATATTCAAATTTTATCCAGACCTATGAATCATCCTATATGGCAGGCCCGCTCAACTCAAAATGTAAGGCGGGTGGTAATACTTTATGAAAAACTTGTGCGGGCCAAAAGATAACAGGACAGAAATTGTGCAGGCCAAAAGAAAATAGGACAGGACTTGTGCGGGCCAAAAGACAACAGGACAGGACTTTGCGGGCCAAAAGAAAAAAGGACAGAACTTGTGCAGGCCAAAAGAAAAGAGGACAGGACTTGTGCGAGCCAAAAGACAACAGGACAGGACTTGTGCGGGCCAAAAGAAAAGAGGACAGGACTTGTGCGGGCCAAAAGACAATAGGACAGGACTTGTGCGGGCAAAAAGAAAAAAGAAAAAAAAGGACAGAACTTGTGCGGGCTAAAAGACAATAGAACAGGACTTGTGCGGGCTAAAAGACAATAGGAAAGGACATGAGCGGGCTAAAAGACAATAGGACAAGACTTGTGCGGGCCAAAAGACATTAGGACAGGACTTGTGCGGGCGAAAAGCACAAAGAAAAAAAAAAGACAATAGGACAGGACTTGTGCGGGCAAAAAGAAAAAAGAAAAAAAAGGACAGAACTTGTGCGGGCTAAAAGACAATAGAACAGGACTTGTGCGGGCTAAAAGACAATAGAACAGGACTTGTGCGGGCTAAAAGACAATAGGACAGGACTTGTGCGGGCCAAAAGACATTAGGACAGGACTTGTGCGGGCCAAAAGCAAAAAGAAAAAAAGGACAGAACTTGTGCGGGCCAAAAGAAAAGAGGTCAGAACTATTGTAGACCAAAAGAAAAGAGGACAGGAGGAGAAGTTATTAAGAAAATAATAAGCATAAATAATATTTCGTTACTTCTCGGTCCTGCTATATGGACACGTAACTACCATGTGGGCTAATGGGACTCGGTTGACCAAACGTTAACCTTCGCTTTTGCTAGCTAGTCTTATTTCAACAAGCTCAAAATGACTCCAGAGAGGTAATTTCGATATAGTGAGCTAAGTACTTTACCATAGGTTTTGTCATTTCTCAGACCGGAAAACGTCATAGCGTACTATTTTTAGAAGGTCGGCGGACAAATATTGCTTAAAACATGGCAGCTTATAGTGTGTTCCAGCATATCGTTCGGACGATCCTTGTATCTAGAGTTACTGTTACATATGCCGTTCGCGCAATGTAGTCCCATTTCAGAAAATAGAAGTAAAAAAAATGTGTAAAATATTTCGTAAAATAGAGTTGTAAACAAGTTTCAGGAACACTTTGCTAACATAGTAATACTGAACAGTGTTGGTATTTTTTCCGCGCCCAGTACCCGGATCGGATGATGAGTAATGATGACATCAGTTCTATTAATAGATTGCCGCCATGAAATGACAAGCCCTATGATCGTCGCCGGTCCATCCCATTCGAGGGGGCTAAGATCATTCTAACATTGAAATTTAAAAAAAAAAAATATGTTTATGAACAGGTGGGACTAGGCCCCTAGACTCATTTTTCTTGTGTATCAGTCTTACGATTCGAAGCTGTACAGTGTTAACAGTCTATGATCATTAGTGACAGACACTGAAATAAAGTATTAGACCAGATGGCACGTGGTAACGAGAGGATTGTGAACAGACTTGTCATTTTCTATTTGAAATTTTAAAACACTAATGCATTTTCAATATCTGAAATTTGTTTTGATATACTAATATATTTGTAATGGAATGATTTAGTCATCATAAGACTATCTTCTTGCGAATGAAAAAAATTAAAACATTTTTTACAAATCATCAGCATAACTAGATTAACTATTTCCATGATCAAACATCTTATTATAGCTTCACCCCACTTTTCTTTTTTAAAAAAAAATAATATTTTTTTTTAAAAGGAGATGGCACACCAGTTCAAGAGGTCGAAGGAAAAAAAAAAACTACTTTGGCAGACTTTATGGACACGACCATGAATTTAAAGACGAGTTTAAAAGAGCTTAAAAAATTAGAAAATAACAACTTTTAATTTCTTAAAACGCATTACTCAAAGAAAGTCTTTGCTGAAGGTTACAGTACGGCATCCCTATGAAGCGAAAAGAGTCGAAGAGAATATAGACAAACCCCATTGATTAGCGAGTAGAAAGAAAGTCTTTTTTCAAAAGACGTATGGTCGTTGCCTAAGCCTTCCACACACACACAGAATGTGGGAAAACGTATAGGTCATCGTCTACTCCTGTTGTTACTCACCGACCCATGACACGGCCAAAATATTTCTACTCGCTCACATGAAATTAAACATCATGTTGAACTCTGAATCCAAAATTAGAAACACCGGCCTTTCAACTCGTGAAGTGACGTCATTTTACTGGTTGTTTTTTTTCTCTTAATACTCTCTACTACCAAATTTAACATTGTCATGTTTTACGTATACCATACGGGATGTCAGGGTCTAGAAAAGAGCACAACACGCCCAGGTTTAAATACCAAGGGCTCACACTGTAGATCACTACGTTTTCCACCTAACGCTGAAACGCACATCCTGGTGGTCGCAAATTATAAGACGGGGTCGCCACAACAGCATCTTGTATTGGTTGCGTGTTCAACAACGGCAGCGTTGTTATGTATAAAGAAGTGTGCTGTTGCTTTCAACGCAACAGTGTGATTTGAGCGTAAGACTACGGGCGGTGTATTCTCTTAAAATCTCATTGTATTGACGACATTAGCTTGTGCTTCTACCTGTACTGACAAGTAAGTTTTCATCGGTGTTTAATTTTTCTGGTAATGTTAGAACGATTTAAATTATTTTAATAATTATTTTAAAATCGTAGAATTTTTTAATTTATTTTTGTTGTGTGTGTGCACGGTACAATCCAAATAGCAAAGTTCTCATTCTTCACTCTCAGGTGTTATATAATCTTCTTAATCCTTATTCCTTATGTAGCATCAATTATCTTTTCGTCAAAATTACGCATGCCTTCCATTCAAAGTTACTGAAAGAAAGATTCCAACAGAAGTTGTAGATGTTGATGTGTTGTCATGGATACATGAACTTTAAAGTCGATTCGAGAAGAGAGGGGGGGGCGGGGGAGATTACTTTCGTGGGACACAGTTTTGGTATATTCGACAGTTAGTATTTATTTTTTACGAAAAATAAAATTTGAGTCAAGCTGAGGTTATCACTCTTTTTGCCCCACCTACAATTACTGAAAACATACTCTTTGATTCATAAAACCCTCATCCAGCCTCCACTAATTTGTCTGCCAACCTCTTTTAACCTACTGCATTGTCATCTTTAACCGATTGGAAACCTTTTTTTTTGAAGTTGGTGGTAGCCCGGAATACATTTCTTAAAATGAACGTATTCAAACCAAGTCACAGCCACTGACAAAACGTTAGTGGCTAATGTTGTTTACAAGTGGAGAACAACAAATTGAAGGTCTCGGGCATGATGTACGAAGCTGTAGAAATGGACTTAAATTGAAAGTGTTTTCTGCCCCCATGCAGTGGCGTATCGAGGGTTTTTGGCGCCCGGGGACAAGATCCATTTTCAGCGCCCCTTTTTCTTTTTTTCAACTCTCAAACCCATTAGCTTCATCAATAAAATAATATCAAAGCACATTTTGGCGCCCCTAACTAGCTGGCGCCCGGGGACATCTGTCCGCCCCCTGCCCCCACCACGCTACGCCTCTGCCCCCATGAGATCAAACCAAACCTTCCTTCCCTGCGCCTACCATTCACGAATTGTGCAAGCTTTGTAACGCTACGTCTCACATAGGATATACTGGTGGCGACTGGGAAAAGGGAAAAAAAAAGTGAATTTGATTAAAGAAATACTGTATATCCCCTGATTTTAGACAACTCAATGAGCGCAATCGGTTCAAAGGGCAAATGTTTGGATAAAACTTCACGGATCATTTGGGCATTTCGGGAGCCCCCGTAATTTAATATCAGACTTCAAGCTCGAAAAAAGATAGTGTCAGTTCCCAAAACATCCGATGAGTTTTCTTAAGTTTGCTGTGTTCGGAAACGCCTGTACACCATGCAAGGCAAGCGCTCCATGGAGTATAGAAGACTTTCCCATCACATAACCACCTTATTTTACAACGGAGTCATTTAAGCCCAACTCAAGTCATTGGCGTAACTGTGTGGTGTGATTCTGACTAAAGCGACTTCTTTTTTTAATGTAGATTTCACCCCCCCCCCAAACCCACCTAAATAAGTCCCCTAAATCCTAGTTCCACACCTCGTCTCGTCTGAGACATAAAGTTCTTGAGTTTCTGCAATAATTAATTGCAGTGTTTGTTGAGTTCTAAATACAATATTTTGCGGATGTTTCACAAAAAAAAACTAAAGCGACTTCTTTTTTTAATGTAGATTTCACCCCCCCCCCAAACCCACCTAAATAAGTCCCCTAAATCCTAGTTCCACACCTCGTCTCGTCTGAGCCATAACGTTCTTGAGTTTCTGCAATAATTAATTTCTTTTTTTGTTTGGTTCTAAATACAATATTTTGCGAATTTTTCACAAAAAAAAAAAAAAAAAAAAGAAAGAAACAACAAGACAACAAATATCCAAGCCAATTTATTAACACCATCATGAGCTTTGTACAGATGGGTCTAAACAAACCACGACTGTCCCGCTACACCATTTCTGTAGGAATATTTCTTTTTGCTCACAGATCTCAGTGATTCAGACACCAAAAACTCGCAAAATATTAAACAGGTAAGAATTATTCTCAAATTATGTCATTGTTATTAGTAATATGTCTGTTATCATCAATAATATAATTTTAACTATATTTTTTTATTATTATCATTATTATCATTATTTTAAAATGATTGCACATACACAAATGGGATACACAAAATCAGGCAAAATGATAAATTATTTCTGCAAAATTACTCATCCCGTTTGTTTAAATTTTAGAATCTTAAAATAATTAAGTTTATTATATTCCTTTGTAACAGTAATAAATTTTAAACTACTCTCCCTTTGGGGTTGGGGGATGTGGTGGTGAACTAAGAAAACATTCAAATCGTTTCAATGTCATTTATAAGATTGAATCACAAGTACCATAACCACTACTCGGAAATTTAACAAATTATTTTTTTCCCCTTTCTTTTTCCAGTCCACAACACGCTCAGTCATGGACGCCATTAGTTTCCATCAAGACCGTCCAGGCCTGAAGAGCACTGGCGACTACAACAGGCTGTCGTCGTCGTCATCGTCAAAGCAGATTTCACCATCAGAAACCGATGCCAACGGGGAGCACATCTACGCCTTGTCTGACAGGATTCGTAACAGCAGCCAGGCGATCGCGTCTCTGGCGGTGTCGAACAGACCTAACAATGATAAAAACACGCGTCCCTCCATGCTCGAAGACAATCCGCCAGGGAAAAATAACACCATGGTCTGCTCCCAACCCCTTCCACCAGTGGTTCTTCAAAATAATGCTCCTAGTATGCTGACTCCCGTTCAGATACCATTGTACTACAATTATTTAAATGAGTCTTCCACTGATGAATCCATTACAAATTCCAAAGAAAAGAGAATTCGCCCATCAGAAGACAGAGAATTACCGGGTATTCCCAATAGCACGGTGCGGACCAGAAATAATGCGCTCACTTCCGGAGATCCCCGTAATCGCGGCTCTTCCAGGAATCAACTCATAAGCACCTCAAATAAAGCGCCCATGGAAGTAGAGTCACAAAAAGCCAACAATTTAAGCGTAAGCTATCGTCACTGTTTCGCCGCCGTCTTTATCTTTGCGTTGGTGGCGCTGGCCATCGTGGGGTCAACTTTGGGAGGGGTCATCCTCGTGGGGTTCAGAATTCAAGATAGGATCCAGGGCACGTTTTCTGAGGCTAGTGACAAAATGGCCGCGATGCTGGAAGACTCACACGCCAACTTGACCAGGAAAGTCGGCGCGCTGTGCTCGGCCAATCAAGACGTCTCCGATGTGAGAGTACTATTCAGCGACAGCTGCTACTGCCTTTACTGGAGAAAGCTCTCGTGGTTCGACGCGCGCGAGTTTTGCTTGGAGCTCGGGAACGGGGTGCACCTGGCGGAGATTTACGATACCAGGACCAACGATATTCTGCTGCCCATCTTCCAACACTCGCCAGTCAACGACGGCATCTGGCTCGGGGGGTCCGACCTGGTTGAGACGGGCAAGTGGGTGTGGAATTACACCGGGAGGGCGCTGGAAACGTTTTCGCCCACCTCACAATGGGAGCCCGGAGAGCCAAGCAACTTCAGCCACCTGAATTACCCCGAGCACTGCCTGTACTTGTACAAATGGAGAGTGCCCAACTTCATGTGGAACGATCACGTGTGCACTGACGTCAAGCCATTTGTCTGCAAGTCTTCCCACGAAAACTCTAAATGTCACTGCTGAGACCAAAGTCAAGGAGTGCGTCAAATTGTTTGGGGGGGGGGTTACTGGTAATGGGTCAAATTCTTTTTCGTCTGGAAATGTCAACATTATTGGTTTTTGGTTTGTTTGTTTGTTTGTTTTTTGTTTTTTAAAGAGGTTTTTTTTCAAACATGCGTCAATGTTCTTTACTCATTGTTTGAAACACGTTTTCTCTTTACTGATATCATTTTTAAAATAAAAATTCTTTTTTTTTTTTAGCTGCCCTTTCAATTAGCAGGACGCCATATTTTATCTATAAACCGGAAATAACCCCCCTTAACAGTGGTGGACGCAATGCGTAAACTTCCAATCTACTAAAAATTACTTAACGAATCATGCACTCCATTGTAACGCACTTTATAAGAGTCCCCATCGCTGCTAACTTCTGATCATTTTTATGCTGCATCACCACCATTGATCGCGGCTTTACAGCCTTACATACATACCTAGAGAATTAATATTTGGGATAAACTTTGCATTTTTAAGCTAATTTATTTACAAGATATCTGCCGATCCCATGTTGTAGTTTTGCTGTTGATACCGTGGAGAGCAAATACAATTTACTGCTTTCATTGGCTTATGCTCTATACGACCTTAAGGTCTTGTCGAGATTTGAAAACTTCTGAAAGGCTTATAACGCCTTTGCACATACTCTTATAAATCCATAGATTCCTAGATATGTCGTCAGTCTTTGATATGCAACCTCTTTACTTGTATTCTTTAATGACGGTGTTCTTTTTCTATGATCAATTTACAATTTTTCGGTTGGGGGGGGGGGTTAAAAATATGTACTTGCCTTTTATCTCACTAGCTTGCATGGATGAGGATTTGGAATGTTTAATGATGTTTGTGAACAGGTTACATATATTGATTGATTCCTTTCATAATTTCTCGTTTGGGTTTTTTTTTTTTTATAATTTCATGGGGGGGGGGGGCAGCTTTTTTTAACTTTCTTCTGAAAGCAAATGAAATGAATGGTTTTCTCATTTAAATTCTCAATCAAGTAAGAGCCACTAAAATTCCCGTGTTCGAAACCTAACATTGACATCATGCGTGACCTGGCAGAAACATCAATTACATCCGCACGACCGAATAGGTCAAACTGAACGGCCCCATTCAAACAACGTGCGTAAAAAGTTGGGGGGGGGGGCGATATCTGTGTCTTTACCGGCATATAAATTGGTAGCTATTATCGGTGCACTTATCGGTGCACATACATCGTGTATTTATAAGTGAATGTATGGCATCTCAAAATGCAGCTCAACACCAACAGTTGGGCTCAATTGAATGAACCAGTTGGAGCGTGGTGTATTCATTTTTTTTTTTTTTGGTTCGTTCTTTTACCCCATGTGGAAATGCAAAAACAGGATACCGCACTTCTGACGACACGAAAGAAAACATTTGAAAGTTCACATCCGGGTTAACTTAAAGTGTTGGTTGTTGACGGGAATGTCGCCCCAAAGTAATGGTTCGGTGGGCTTTTTAGGAAGGGTAAGGCGGGCTGGGGTGGGTGGGGGGGGGTGATTGAGGGAAAGAGAATTGTTTTAATGGACCCTGTCACATAATTTAGAAAAAATAAATTTGGGAAAGGAATTAATTTTATTTATATACCCATTTAATTTTTTTCATAAATTGTAAAAAAATATTTTCCAAGGTGTGTGTGGGGGGGCTAAAATATCTTTAAACTTTTTTCATATTTTTTTTTGTTGTAATTTCTGTTGTCTTGATTTTACTGTTATTAATAAGCTAATGGGGAGTGGTAGCCTATATTTACATAGAACGTGATCCAAACAACGACAGTTGCCTCCCCAGAAGCAATCGCTCTGCTTCATGTGCCGTTTTTAATGTAAGATGCTTTTTTAATGGTTTAGGCTTTTTGTTAAGACTATAACCTCACAATATAATGTTCATGAGGACCATTTAAAGCCTTTTTTAATGGAATATGTCATAAAAAATGTTACATGTATATAATTAATTGCAGGATTGTATTGAAGTAAATAATTCATATGTGTTTTTTTAACAATGTTTACAATCACTCTATAATTACTTGGTTTGTTTTTAAATGAAAAAAATAAATGTCTGAAAACATTTAGACGTTTTCTATAAATTTTTTAACCATTTTTTTTTTTTGGGGTGAACATTTCACTTTCGCACTATCGATAGAAAAAATAATTTTCTAAAATCTAAAGAGCTCCATCTCCCCTTGTGAAAACTCCATTTTAAATCTATGATCTCATAGGTTGATTGAACTCAAACCCCCTCCCCCCCTCCTACACACACAATTGACTTGCTTTTCATTCATGCCACTGTAACAATAGAAACAAATGATTAAAAACGGAGACCAAATAAATGATGTGAGTTTAAAACCAGGTGAGAGGGAAAAAAAAGGGGGCGGGGGATATCTACAAGCAAATAATTCCAAATGACCCTTTTACAAAAGGTGATTTTGGTAGCATAATTGAATAACATAGAAAAGCAAAGTATTTGGAAGCTTGAAACATAAAGAAAAGACAAAAAAATGAAGGGCATTTCGGCTAATAACCTCTTCAACAGACGGGGAATATGAAGAAACCACAAGAAAGAGAAAATAATGGGGTGAGTTGAACCAAGAAAAAAAAAGTTTAATCTGCTGAGAGAAGGCTTTTAGCCGAAACGTACTTCTTTTAACTGTCCCGTCTTTCTCATTTCAATCTTCCACATACCTTGTTCTTTTGTTTCCTTCTCGTACAATTTGAACGCCAGTGCTTCACATATTAGCTTATTCGTTGGCCTCTGGTAGTATTTACTTCATTTCGTGTGAAAGATGTCTGGCTTGGCCAACTCTCTGATCTAAATTAACGCTACAACACTTCACTATAATATAGAGTGCTGGGTCATCTGGCACAGCTTCTACTTACAAGACATCGGACATACGCCTCTATTCAATTATTTTGCTTTACCTGGGTTTTTTTTTTAATAATAAATGTGACAAAAACTAAAAACTTTAATTTTTTAAAAACTAAAGCAAAAACAGCTCTTTATATCAAAATAAAATCGAAGCAGGCGAACAGATATCTAATTACATAACAAAACCTACATTCCCCCCGCCCCCCTGTCCTCGGGTGAAAGAGGTGGGACAGAAAGAAAATTCGTAGACCACTTCAAAGGTTACCTTAGCATTTATAATCAGTTGACCTGTTCTACGACTTTCCGAATAATATTAACTTATAATCAAATCTTTATAGATAGAAAATCTATTTCCCCCGTCTTTAGGTCTTAGACGCATAACCTTAAAAAAATAGCAAGGGGGGGGGGGGAGGGGGGTAAGGTGTTATTGTGCTCTTTAGTTGTCAACATTTTAAATCTGGTTGTTGCAATTATAAGGAATAGAGGGTTACCGGAAATTTGTTGAAAAGAAATTAGTTCGAAATAAAATAAATGGGGGTGAGGGTCGAACAAACAATAATATATTTTTTTTTTTAAATATTCTTCATTCTCTCACAAGCAGCTTCACTTAAATTACATTCTAACAAAATAAATTAATTAATCAATCTCCTTTTAACAAAATGTGTCTGGTCGAGCAAACTTCCGCTCTGACAAATTTCAGGGAACCATAATATTGTAATGTTTGGCGCAAAACCTAATCACAATTGTAGGTCATCTAATGAGGTCACACTTGCCGGGAGTCCATTACTGTTAGAGGTCAAAGTACAAGAGTCAAATGTGTTGACTTCACACACGGGTCAAAAATGTTATGAAGAGGCGATGCTTGTCGGGACTCCTTTTTCAACTATGGAAAACACATTCTTTAGAAAGAAATGTTTTGCTCCATTTAATAAGTCCAAGGGTGCGGCAAACCGTGTCTCTAAAATACAATGCCGAGTGTCAATGTTGTTAGTCAGCTTTGTCGAACCAACTGACAAGGGGCGAGATTTTAAGTGAACACCGGTTTGATGAACCTCGTCCTCGATATTTTTTAGTTTTCTTCTTTTTTTTTTTTTGCTGGCAAAGGCATTCCGCCGATACTTTCAAATTTCTATTTGTTAATTTTGGTTCCAGGCTTTATTTTTGTAAACATATCACCTCCACACAGCTTTAACCCATTCACCTAGGCATTTTCATTTGCACTATCTCTGCATTGTATACTTGAAGTAGATTTTTTTTGTCACATTGTGTTAATATTGTACAGAAAATTTCAATACCTGGTCAATTTGTGTTAATTTAAAAAAAATAATAATAATAATATTTGTTAACATCTTACCGATGCTATTGAAAAACAAGGGAGGGTCAATTGTCCTCTACACATTGGTAACATGCTCCATCTCTGCTTGCCTGTGCGTTAAAGCCCGTCTACAGTGTACAAGACGACCGCCGGCCACCCGAGCCATCGTAACGTCAAGTTAAATGCTGGCCGTTAACGCCCCTGGTGTGGTCAAGCCAGTTATGTAGGATTTAGTCAGGCAGTGTTGCGTCCGCATTTAAGCCTCAGAGCTCTGTTGTTGGCGCCACAGATTCCACTGCGGCTTAAACATATCAGCGTGATCACCTCTGACCTCATCTCCCCATTTGCCCGTGTCCTCAAGCGAATCCGCAAACGAGTTTTGAATATCTAGAAATGCAAGCGGTGTGATGGTTTTGGCTGAGCAGCCACATGCTTTTGCCAGAGTGTCTAATTTTTGTCTTAATTTATCTTCCTTTCCGCTAAGCATAATTGTTATTTCAAAAACTTGTTTCTTTTGCAGGACCAATGCCATCTTAACCAAACCAACTGAACGAATTAAATAGCGTCGATGTGTCCAACCATTTAAAGGATACAAAAGTCAGTTTGGCTACCTACAAAACAAAAATCCTTGAAAAGACTGAAAATGAATACGTCAGACAACATTGAATTACACTCTGATGTCGATCTGATGACGGCAACCAAAAATTTAATCCTTGACCGGTCCAATCCGATTCTCCAAGCTCAAGGTCAAGCTCCCGTGACATCCGACGCGCCACCATATGCTCAAGCTGGTACGGGTCAAGGCCATGACCCCATCCGACCCCCGCCGTATCATAACGTCAATGGTGACGTCAACTGGAACTCCACAAAATCAACACAGTACCCGGGAAACGCACACGCCTCGGTCAGAAGGTTGACCTACATGGAGCCCGCTCAGGACTTCCACAGGGTCAACCACAGGCAACAGGACTACGTCGTTCCGGAGTCCGACCATTATGATTACATCCCGGCCGGTGGCGTGCCCAACGCGCCCTCTACGCCTAACGACAAATACAACTACAGAACTCTGCAGATCCCAGCCGTACGACGAGGCGGTCAGTGGACGAGAAGGCAATATTGTTCAGCCGCGGTGGCCATCGTTGGTCTGTTCTGCGTGTTCCTTGCGTCCGCCCTCGCTGGAATTGTAGTCATCGGTCAACAGATAGAAAAGACGATGGACGACCGGCTCTCAGTCATTCAGACCAACATGTCAGACTCTTTCTCCAAGAACAGAGACAGCACAGAGAGACTTATCAATGACATCCACTTGGACTCGCCAGATCTGCTGGTCAAATACCAAAACAACTGCTACTGCGTCTACACCAACAAAAGGAACTGGTTCAAGGCCAGGGATTTTTGCATCGGGTTAGGGGAAGGCGTCCATCTGGTGGAGATCAGAAAACTGGAGGTCAACGAGTATCTGAATTCGTTCCTGGTAGCTTTGTCGAACGCCTCCCAGTCCGTGTGGCTGGGTGGCTCGGATTTCCTCACCCCGGGGCAGTTCCTGTGGAATTCCACGCGCATCCGCGTCGACGAGTTCGAGCCCAGGCAGTGGAAGGACGGTCGACCCGGTACAGTCGCTGGAGAAAATTGTTTGAAGAATCACGCTTACAGTGCTCCCGATTACAAGTGGAACAACGCAAAGTGCTCCCTCAAGCTGTGGTACGTGTGTCAGTCACCGGAGGTGGAAAAGAGATGCAGATGTTAGACTTTGTTAGACTTCGTCATGTTTCATTTCTTATTAAGGCTTCGCTGCATTTGTTTCGGATATATCTTGGCATCCATGAATTATTATGGTCGTGTTGTTTTGTTTTGGTCTTGGTGTTTGTTTTTTTAGAATGTCTATACCTCAAAATAAATGATATTGACAGCGGGAATTCTGTATAAAGTTTAAAAAAAGCAAATACACTTGGTGTTGATGCTGTCATTGCTATGCAAAAAAAAACTAGATGATACCCGTCGAAAATCATGGGAATGTTTCATGAATTGGATATTTTAGATTTCAGCTAATCAAGACGCTATTTCTCAACTAGCTAAATAACTTGAGTAACGATATAGGTAAAGGCTTTAAAAAAAAAAAGACAGGACAGTTAAGCTGATGTGTAGGCAAGACGGCTTCTTCGGCTGACAACACAACAAAAAACAAGAGATACATTTAAATAAGCAAATAAAACATGCAGTTTTTTTTAAGATCTCAATAATGTCATAGTTCAAAACAGGAAGCGCTCTAAGTTATTCTTAGAAACAAACTAGAATCCTGTTTATATTCAGAAAATGCAACGCTTCCCTTAAGGCAGTCTCTTTTGCTCTCTGCGTTAGTTCCAGACATACATACATACATGTATCGAAAATTTTGAGTTTTGTTTATTCCGCTTGTTTTTGTTTTCACGTTATGACCAGATCCTCCCTGCCATAGATTACGACCAGATCCTCCCTGCCATAGACAAGGCGTACGTTTAAAAATACGAAAGACATTGGTTAAAAACGTCATTTGCGTTTGTCAAAACGTATATAGCATCCAGTCTTTGACGCTAGGGGCTTTGCAACCCAATAAATATCAATAAATCCATCTCATGTAAAGACAAAACTAAATGTGTGAGATGTTAGTGCATTAATTGCATGTAATGCGTTTAATTAACTTTTTTTTTGTTTTGTTAAGTATAATTTATGTTATGCTTGGGGTTGATAAGATTGGTCAACGTGTTGGTGAGTTATAAGGATGATAAACCAACAAAATCCTTGTGCGTCTGAAAACCTGGAGTCATGGTTGCTGACGCTCACATAAGGACATCCGTACTTACAACATCTGCTAGTGTCGTAGCATACTTAGCGTGGCAGTTAGCATGACAGTTGAACGGGAAACGTGTTAAACTTTAACGAGACATTCAAATGACATTGACGTATAACTTAATATAACCTTTTAATTTTAATCATTGTTTTGTGTATTTTTAAGCTTTTTTAAAATAACTGTTGACGCATCAAACAATTTTGATATAAAATGATATTAAATTGAGTGATATTATAAACATTGTTTGTTTCGTTGATATAACACGTGTTTGAGTAAAAAAATTGATTGCTAATAAAGCTGTTTAGAGATTCATTGGTTTATGATTGATGACTGTTTTCAACATAGTGTGTACTGGAGGTTTATTCTACCCCCCCACCACCCCCTTTTTGAACAAGATCCTTTTTACAAAAGTAGGCAATTTTCAGGTTACAATAGTTTTCTTCATTTATTGCAGAAAGAAATAGCTAAAACTGTTGTTAAATAAAGGAATTTATTTTTTCATGGGCGAAAATTTCCCATTACTTAAAATGACTGTAAGCAACATAAATTAAATGCGTCTCCTTGCTCGTCGTTTACGAACATTAATGGAATCTAGTAATGTGTCTCCCTGCTCGTTGTGTCCTTAAATAAATGAACTAACAATGAGTCTCACTGCTAGGGGGGGGGGGCCTTACTTTAATAATCAAACAATGTGTCTCCCTGTTCGTTTTATACTATCGTTAATTTAGCTCAGATCAAACGGATTTGCGGAGGTTAGAAAGAAATGTCCTCTATGGGAGTTTCATGAAGATAAACAGCCTAGTCAACAGTTCAAATAGTGTGACAGCAACACCAGCTGCCCGGTGAATAGAAAGAAATGTCCTCTATGGGAGTTTCATGAAGATAAACAGCCTAGTCAACAGTTCAAATAGTGTGACAGCAACACCAGCTGCCCGGTGATGCGACACTGACAATTGTAATCGGGGGGGGGGAAGTTGGGGCGGGGGGGGCATATTAACAGGATTTACATTTTTTAAATTAATGTTATTAAGCATAGATTCATGAAATAGATTTTAAAAAATTAATTGTTTACAGTAAATAATAATTATACAACAGAATTGCTATTTGCAGTTCCGGATTAACCTAACTGCAGATAAGGCACGTGCCTAGGGGACCATAACAAAGTATCCTTTTTTTTTATATGTTCTCGAAACATGTGAAAGGTTTAATGTACTGTAGTGACAGGACTCTTGGACCCCTTAGTATTTAAATAAGGAATGAAAACAATATGAAAGGTAAATGTTGAAGCCGTAAACATTTTCTCAGTAATAGGTGAACATCAATGACCTGCTTCTAAGCAACTGTCGTCCCGTGATGATATCAGTGTGATAGGAATGTCCTTTGACAGGAATGTCAAGTCAGAGGAATGTCACTTGCTTGGAATGTCAAGTGCAAGGAATGTCACGTGATATGGATTTCAAGTGCAAGGAATGCCAAGTGCAAGAAATGTCACATGATAGGAATTTCAAGTGCAAGGAATGTCACATGATAGGAATGTCAAGTGCAAGGAATGTCGCGGGCGAAGAATGTCAACTGAGAGGAATATTCAGTGCAAGGAATGTCAACTGAGAGGAATGTCAAGTGCAAGGAATGTCAACTGATAATGATGGCCCATGATAGTGTTGTGAGCTAATTGAGGTGCTTGAATGTTTGGTTTGGGGGGGGGTGTTGTTAATCGTGAGAGTGTCTTGTGAGGTGAGACGTAGGTCGTGAGGTCAGAGCGTGAGGTTGGTTCGTGGTGTTGCAAAGAATGTCAACTGAGAGGAATATTCAGTGCAAGGAATGTCAACGGAGAGGAATGTCAAGTGCAAGGAATGTCAACTGATAATGATGGCCCATGATAGTGTTGTGAGCTAATTGAGGTGCTTGAATGTTTGGTTTGGGGGGGGGGTGTTGTTAATCGTGAGAGTGTCTTGTGAGGTGAGACGTAGGTCGTGAGGTCAGAGCGTGAGGTTGGTTCGTGGTGTTGCGTTAGTTTATGCTGAGTGTTTGTTGTGTAATAATTAAACAAAGCAGTGTGTTGTTTGATCGTTTGAAGTGGAGGAGAGAGTGGAAGAGATTCAGCTGTTAACTAGCGTAATAGTGCAAGAGCTAATGTTGTTAAAAATGAGAACGTTTTGTGAACTCACAGTTACTGTGATAATAAAGAATAACGACATCTTCTCTCATTGAACGTTGGTGGCTGATCTTATTTGTGGATCCAAGCATGGCTGCGTGGCAGTGGAGTTAAACGACGGTGCCGGTAATGTATAACAATATTAAGATTCGACAAACGGAACGGCCTTAAGAAAAGAGATGTAACATTTCGAAGCACGGACATTCGTTTAATAGGAAAGATCTTATCATTTGTAAAGGCAACACGAAAGAAGATCGCAAAAGATAGGAAAGTCAAGTGCCAGAAATGTCAAGTGCCAGGAATGTCAAGTGCCAGGAATGTCAAGTGCCAGGAATGTCAAGTGCCAGGAATGTCAAGTGCCAGGAACGTCAAGTGCCAGGAATGTCAAGTGCCAGGAATGTCAAGTGTAAGGGACATCATGTGAGAGAAATGTCACGTGAAATTAATGTTAAATGCAAGTAAAGCAAGTGCAAGGAATGTCACGTGATAGGAATGTCAAGTGCAAGAATGTCAAGTGCCAGGAATGTCAAGTGTAAGGGACGTCAAGTGAGAGGAATGTCACGTGATATGATATCACGTGCAATGAATGTCATTTACATGGAATTTCAAGTGCAAGGAAGGTGACATGTTAGGAATTTCAAGGGCAAGGAATGTCAAGTGCAAGGAACGTCAAGCGCAAGAAATGTCAAATGAGAGGAATGTCACATGTTTGGAATGTCACGTGATAGTAATGTCAAGTGCAAGGAATGTCTGTTGCAAGGAATGTCAGTTACAATGAATGTCACGCGGATGTCAAATGCAAGTAATGTGTGAGCTGGAAGAAAAGAGATAACAAGACAAATACGATGTTTAAAAATTGGATTCATTTCATTCACTTTGTTTTGTTTTTATAATCTCATCTTTGGGATCATTTGATCCTCTGTGATTGTTAGCGGTGTATAGTAAATTGCGTGCAGGGAATGGAAATAAGTTGTGATTGTTGTTTAATGGTTGGGACAAGGAAATCATTTCAAAGAGCGGGCAGCAAAACAGAAATTTTTGAAATCGATTATTTGATTCTTTTTTTTTCCTTCTTTTTTTTTACCAACTTTATTGACCAGAGGACTGTGATATCACTAGACCACCAGAAAGGAAAGAACTCTGCAATTGATAACTAGAAGAAAATTGGTATCAAACCACATTACAGAAACCCTACACATTACAGAATGTAGACGGATAGGGGTTAATCTTCATTGAAGAATGCTAATTCCCGGGGCAATACATTTGGGGAAAACGAATTAGAAAACTATAGGAAACTTGATGATTTGATAGCAGAGTAGGATCTGTAAGACTGTATTTTACGGACAGCTGGTAAAGGAGCAGATGATAGGCAGGCGTGACCATCCTTGACGGTTGCTTCAATAACACGACGGCTGAGTGAGTTAATGGACGAATGACGGACACAAAGAATGCTAACGAATGATTGACGTACAGATAAATTGCTTTATAAAATAATTTATCCGACAAAAAGCTAAATATAACTAATACAATAATAATATAACAAATAAATGAAATGTGATGTTTATAGACAAGGGATTATTTTGCAATGAGTTCATTTTTTTTTAAAGTGGGAGGGAGGTGTTAGAAGAATCGAATGTACACTATTAAAAAGTACTACAACGAAAAATAATAAGAGTTCTTAACTGTCTTTAATAACAAAAGTTTTAAAATAATAATTTTAAGATAGCTGCTGGCACAATTCATTATGTAACCTCAATCAGTGAACTCATATCACAAAGATCACCATCCTAAAGTGATATTCGCAACTGCCAAATTGCTTTTTTATTCGTCTCCCTTCTGACAAAACTTTCATAAAACCAGTGCTTAAACTCTATAAAACCAACCTCTGCGACATTATTGCTTTAACTCTATAACCTCAACTTTTGTGACATCATTACTTAAACTCTATAACCCCAAACTCTGTAGCATCACTGTTTGAACTCTGTAACCTCAATCTCTGTGGCATCACTCTTTAAACTATATAACCCAAAAGTTGTTACGCCCATGTTAAAATACTATTACCAGAACCTTTGTGACGCAAATGCTCACGCCGTATATCCCCCCGAACCGACAGATTGAGGCGGACGCAAACAGTTACACAAAGTTGGAGGAAAACACAATTATTATTGTATGCGTCGGATTGGCCGTGTCTAGTATGGATATATTACGGAACTGGTCAACACTAGAGCTACAGAAAACATACACTCACCGCAGAGTTTTAATTCTTAATGTCCGTCTTGTGAGAAGCTGTCATTTGAATGGTTTGTCAGTAACATTCACCACCTAATGGGAATGCGTGTAGATAACTACAGACGCTTAAAGACGGACACGCGGGAGGTAACAGTAGATGTGTGCGATGAGATAAAAATTGATGTGTGCAATGTGCCACGGGCAGAGAACAACAATAAATTATCAGAGTTGGGTTTAAAACGGTTTTAAGGTGAGTGGTGCGTGTTCGCCATGGTTGAGATCGAAAAAAGTGTTGGTGTCAGTGGGGTCTCCACTGAGATGAGGTGCCGAAAGTGTTGGGGTCAAAGGGGTCTCCCCTTGAGTTGAGGTGGCAAAATGTTTTGGTGTCAGTGGGTTTTCCACTGAGATGAGGTGCTGAAAGTGTTGAGGTCAAAGGGGTCTCCCCTTGAGTTGAGGTGGCAAAAAAGTTTTGGGGTCAGTGGGTTATCCACTGAGATGAGGGGGCAAAACGTTTTGGGATCAGTGGGGTCTCCACTGAGATGAGGTGGCAAAAAGTTTTGGGGTCAGTGGGTTCTCCACTGAGATGAGGTGGCAAAAAAGTTTTGGGATCAGTGGGGTCTCAACTGAGATGAGGTGGCAAAAAGTTTTGGGGTCAGTTGGGTCTCCACTGAGAGGAGGTGGCAAAACGTTTTGGTGTCAGTGGGGTCTGCAATGAGATGATTTTGGTGTCAGTGGGGTCTCCCCTGCGTTGGGATCGGAAACAGTTTTGGGGGCACAAACGAGTTGAAGGTGGGGAAAGGTTTGGAGAATTGTGAAACCGGGTACGCAGATATGGACGAAATTTAAGTCGCCTCCGAAGTCCTGAAGTGCAACACGTGTCAAGGTCATTAAGAAAAATAAGAATTTTTATCAATCCAAAGGCTGGCCACTTGTGATGTGAAAGGACAACTAAGAACACTTGAGGATTTGAAATTAGAGACGAGCGTTAACCCCGAATACATAATGTGCCGATCCTGATGTGAGGTTATTGTCGCCAGTCCTGACATGGCTTGAGCGCCAGGAATGTTGTGAGTTTAGCGCAGGATCTGACGTGAGTTTAGCAGTGGTTCAGACGAGACTTTGACGTCCCCTCTGATGTGCCCTTAGCACTAAGTTGATTGCGATATAAAGCACGAGCTCTGACGTAAGCTTTACCCCGATCCTTTAGTAAGTAACCACATAAGTTATGCTTCTATTTCTCCACACACGATGTGTGTATTATGTTGAAGAAGTCGTATTAATGTTAGTGCTGCCAGCAATGTAGGCTAATTAATTTAGTTCATTTGTGTTTCAAAGACACATTTGAAAATAATCAAAAGAACAACTTTACTGTGTACATTCTATGGAGTATTGTAAAAAAAATTGCTTTTATATTCGCTGTATTGCTTTTTCAATGATTTTGCAATTGACTACAATCGTGGTGTTACCCCAGACAGGGGTGTTGATGCGACCTTCTGAAGAAATCTAATGCTGCTGAGTCTATTCTGTATAAAAGTGGAGAGTACATTAATAGTTTCATATTGTTAATATAGTAATACGTCTTGATGAAAAATTTCGTTATACTTTTCAATAAACCGTCCCAACTTTTAATTCATTTCTGAGGCATATGCCAGTGTGCTTATTCTTGCTGTCAGCACTGAATTCTTTTCAGGCACGAATTCTTTCGTGAATTATTTTAAAAAGCGAAAAAAAGAGTGTGTGCAAATATTCAAATAAACGACTTTGAAAGACAGGGACTGAAAAACTTTGTTCCGCCAGGAGAGTTATTCCTTAATTTTTAACTAATTTTTTTGTGTGTTTGCATTCAACCAAGTTTATTTCATTAGTGGAGTTCTGTGTATTATGTTAATAAATATTTAAAAGAGTGTAAGTTACCGTGTATTACAAACTAATGTTCATAAAAATGTTTGATGAAGATAAATAAATCTATATTTCTCTTGAAACTCGTAAGTTCTTAAGATCTCTAATTCGAATAAAACACTAGTTAATATACAAATATTCGGTCCAATAAACTAGTGTGTTCGATTGATTCATCTGTCCAATAAACTAGTATGTTCGATTGATTGCTCTGTCCAGTAAACTAGTATGTTCGATTGATTGATCTCTCCAATAAACTAGTATGTTCGATTGATTGATCTCTCCAATAAATTAGTATGTTCGATTGATTGATCTCTCCAATAAACTAGTATGTTCGATTGATTGCTCTGTCCAATAAACTAGTATGTTCGATTGATTGCTCTGTCAAAAAAAATTACAAAACACAGGCTATGGGAACTCCTGGGAAAAACAACAACTATAGAATACAGTGGACCTTTCGGCAGACATGAGCCAACTGCAAAAACAATAAAGACAACAGATAACAAAAACAACTTGGGTTAGTAGAAGTAGACCAGAAGTTATTCAAATCGAACATCAATGTGTTTCTTATGAAGCGTCTAATAAAGTTTATTTTCTATGCTTTGTACATTGGCCTTGCCTGGAAGTCATGCTTAGTACACACTCAGCGGACATTAGCCTAACCTGAAAGTCAAGCTTAGTAGATACTCAGTGTTTCTTTAGCCTCACCTGGAAGTCATGCTTAGTACATACTCGGTGGACATTGGCCTCACATCAGAGTCAGAATTACAATTTGTTTTATTTACAATGCGTCTTACTGAAAATAACTAAGAATGAAAATCCATGTAATTTTCAATGCTAGTTTCTTTTCGTTATTGAAATAAAAGCCTATTTTCTAACCATAAATCACGTTTATTTTATTTCCCTCCCACATTTAGACGTAGTATATGCCGATGAAAATCTCATTAGACTTACAATGAATGAATCTGAGGATATAGAAATGCATGACCTGGCGAGAGCAACCAACAGCGCAATCGCCGAGAGTTCAAGTCCGACTCATCAAACCAACTCGGCCCCGAACACAAGACAAAATGGTCGCGATCAAGAAGCTAACGTATCTCAACATTATTATCACCAGTTTGACGGGGTCGATTTGAGATCCCCTCAATCGCGTGGCGCATCCCCTGAAACTCCCCAGGCAGAGGTCGGGAGCTTGACCTATTTGGAGCTGGTGGGTGACTGCAACCAGGGACGACCAGATATCGTAAGGCCTGAATCGGACCACTACGATCGCCTACCTTTCATGGGCGGTCAGTCCGGCCACCGCGACACAGAACTGACATCATACGGGAGAAATCCGTTCGAAGCTTGGCAAACGTCTACAACAAACTATCATCGTAAACCGACTGGCAGAAAACGTTATATCCTCATTGCTTTGGTAATTCTAGTAGTGCCTTGTGTCTTCTTGGCAGCAGTTCTCGCTGGGATCCTTTTAATCGGCCAGCAAATAGAAAACAGCATGGAAAACAAACTCTTCGACTTTCAGGCAAACATGTCGAATACACTTTCAGGAAGGAGGGACTTCAATGAGTCGAAGTTCATGTTTAGCGCTCGCTCGGACTCACCCGAGCTGCGTGTGAAATACAAAAACATCTGCTACTGCGTCTACACAAAAAAACTGAGCTGGTTCGAACCCAGGGATTTTTGTTTTGGCTTGGGACCCGACGTTCATCTGGCGGAGATTAAATCCGCCGCGCTCAACACTTACCTGATGCCGCATCTCGTAGCGTTATTCAGAACCCCTCGCTCGGTGTGGCTGGGCGCTTCAGATATCGTCACTTCCGGTGTATGGCTGTGGAATTCTACAGGCACGTCAGTCGAGAATTTTACCCCGACCCAGTGGAAGGAAGGCCATCCGGCGATGAAATTTACCGAGAGGTGCGTGAAGGACGAGGGAAATGAATTGAAATCTTTTCGGTGGAACACGGCTCACTGCACCTCTGTGTTTGCGTATATGTGTCAGTCGCCAGAAGTGGGCAAAAAATGAAGATGTTAAAATCCTTTATTGCAAGCGTTCAATAACTTACAATAATGTCCTCAATTGTTATTTGTAATTGTATTTTATGATGATTTTCATTGCAGTGGGAAAGTATGGTCTTAAACATTGCATGGTCATTATTTTGCAAACTTGATTCTAGAAACTTTGAAATGTTTTTAGATTCCTTTTTTTACAATTTCGAATAACGATGTTTGCGCCTCGTCAGTTGCATCCCCATCATCACATTTACTGTGTTATGAATGTACACGAACTTGTTAAGTATAACTATGGCTTTGTCATGGGCAGTTCTGTAAACTGAATCTGGGTATTTTGAGAAAATACCGGGTGGGTCCAAGTGTTTCGAAAAGAAGTTAAATTCTCATTTTAATATTATGTGCCGACCTTTACACAATAGGCCTACTGACACTCCTACACCCTATCTGCCGGCCTTTAAACAATAAAGTCCTACACCCTACCTGCCAGCCTGGAAAGAATAGTCCTACAGACAGTCCTACTCCCTATCTGCTGGCTTTTAAACAAAAGTCCAACAGATAGTCTTACACCCTCCCTGCCTTGAAATAATAGTCTTACAAGACAGTCCTACACCCTACCTGCCGGCCTGGAAAGAATAGTCCTTCAGACAGTCCTACACCCTACCTGCCGGCCTGGAAAGAATAGTCCTACAGACAGTCCTACACCCTACCTGCCGGCCTGGAAAGAATAGTCCTACTGAGAACCCTAGAGAAATTCATACACTATACCCGTGGCTCTTTCATGATTCACATAAGTGTCCCCGCCTAAAAATCAACTTTCTTGCTTGAGTTCAACCATCACGTAGGACGCTCGCTGCTAGACAGATTATTTTTTTTTCCACTCAGTACCGTTCATATAAAACATGTTGAGTCACGGTGATGGTTGTAAAAAGGAAGCAGCCACACCCCAAGCAACATATATATATATATATATATATATATATATATATATATATATATATATATATATATATATATAATATATAAGAGATTATTTGGAATTTACTGGAAAATCGACGTGCCCTTAGTTACTTCCATTTTTTGTAAATTTTAATGTACTATACATTGACATGCAATCTCTATAAACATGTTTTACATTAAATCTCTATGAAATACTTTGAGATTCAATCTCTATCAACTATTTTGAAATTCAATCTCTGTGGACTACTTTGACATTCAGTCTCTATGGACTACTTTGATATTCAATCTCCATAAACTGTTTTGATGTTCAGTTCCTATGGGCTACTTTGAACTTCGAAATCCGTTTAAAAGATATTTAATTAGTACCATTTTACTGTTGTTGTTTTTTTCATAACCAAACATGTTATAAGTCCCTCCTATTCCTTGGCGGTTCATTCGGTTTTCAGCAGATGCCCGTTGGTCTCTAACATTCCCTATAACTAGTTGCTTATAAGGAAAATGAGAGTTGGGTTGACCTGCAGGGTTCAAAACGTCCCCTTGCTCCCCTGCGCGCCGTGTAGCCTGTTGCTATTTTCAAAACGACACTCACAACCTATTGGAGTTGCTGGGGTTCACTGATTTGATAAGAACAGCTATCTCTGGCAAGTCTTGACATCATCTGACACAGAATGGGACCTTGTACATTATAATCAAAGTTGAAATCAAAGTCACCCACTTGCTGTACTACAATTTTATGTTAAATCAATTGTGTTACGCGACCCGTGTGAATAAATGCAAAATTAGCGAATGAGAAATACTTCTTTAAAAAAAAAAAAATCAAAACACAGTATTTCATGAGTAGAGTACTGTGTTTTATGTTTATCAATATTATTTAAAAGAGTTTAAGCAAGTTACCGTGTATTATTGTGTATATTTGATTCCATGGTAACAGAGAACTGTGTGTTCATGTTTGTTTTCACTCTTAAGCAAACCAATGGAATAATACAAATATTGAAGATGTCACATAGAGTCGTAAGTACTGTGACTGGTAACGAGTCCGATAAAGTAGGCCTATAAATAGACCGAACAAAAATTTTATCATAGGTCAGATGTTTATAAATATATTATTTGTTAGTAATCTCAAGAATGTCTGACTAAACATATTGGTACAAAACCGAATGAAAGAAAGTTCTTAAACACATTTGTATTTATTTAAGGTAACTAATAAAAAGTATTTTATTTCAAATAATAACTTTTTAATCGCACATTTAAATATTAATAAATTAACCTTTGGATTTCGTTCTTGGTAAGTTGTTCTTCTGTTCTCTTTTAAAATTTAGGAAGCAAACTATATCATTGATGGCTTTAAAAGAACATGATTTTAGGCTTCATTGATTTTAAAAAATATATATATTTGTTCGAAGAATTTTTGTATCTATTTTTTAAAACTGCATGGACTATATCATTTCAAAGATATTCAGAAACTGTTAATATTCTTTCAAGTGAGCAATTGAACGGCTTTTAAAAGGCTTCCAGGAAAAAAAATATTATCGAATATTTCCGTAGCAATCCCAAAATAATTTATGAAAATGTAGACCAAATAAAACTAGAATTTGACGTGGCCGTGGAGTAGTCATCGTCCTGCAGGGACTTCCACGTGACGCCAGAGTCCGTGCTGACCACGTACGTCAGTCCGTTGTTAGAGATGCCGTAAAGGTTCCCTGTTTCTGGGGCGGTTCCCGTCACGACGGCCACACGGGTGCTGATCTCTGGGGAGTGTGACACAAAAATTTGGACATCATTTGCAAGTTGGGAAGCATTTTTTAATCGAAAAATATTTTCCTTTAACTTAATTGATATATTTGTTTGCAAGTTGTAACAGGGAAGCTATGCCTTAAATGCGCCAACTTACCCAAATATAGGGCAGGGCTTACGCCGAAGACGGGTGGGGTGATCTTGTGACAGGAAACGCCACTAGCTCCGCCCCTGGGTAGGAAATTTAAAAACATGTTTCCACAACATCCTTGAGATAAATTATTGTCCTGGGATATTGCCAGTCACTAAGAACAAGATGCGCGGGGTGGGTGATATTAGAGTTCTAAAACGGGATATTGCTAGTCACTAGGCACAAGATGCGTGGGATGATAATAGAGTTTTAAAATATGGGATTCGCAGTGCTTGTGTTTAAACAGGTATTTGTAAGCTTTACGACTAAGGATGATACAGGGATTAAGAAAGTATCCATTGCGGATGAAAATAAGCAATTACAGCAGGACATCCTTATCCACAATGACATGAGTTTTCAATCACTTCATAGATATATATCTGGTGACGGTGACAGGAGTTTCATAATATTATACAGTTGTCTGCCTGGCCATAGCAGAAAGGCGCCAGGAGAATTGGGTTTGGGGAGGGGGGGGGTATTGCACTGGTTAAACCAATTCAATGTTGAAATTGACTTAATGAGGGGCAGTTCAATCTTAAGCGGGAATTCGTGAATCGAGCACATCTGACTCAACCAACTCATCGTGGTCTGGGGTCTTAAGATTATTTTGTTTCAAATGTATTTCATTTTCTTATCTTCACTTAAATACCTACCCGAATTAATTATATTTTCACTTCTAGCAAATAAATTATATCTTCATTTCAACTTAATGAAGTATATCCTCCAATAGCTCTTGTGAGGCCTTTGACAGGATAATTTACAAGCTGTTGTGATGATTTGTCGTGCATGGTGTCTGGTAGTGCGTGGTGTCTGGTAGTGCGTGGTGTCTGGTAGTGCGTGGTGTCTGGTAGTGCGTACTGACTGGTAGTGCGTGCTCTCTGGTAGTGCGTGGTGTCTGGTAGTGCGTGCTGTCTGGTAGTGCGTGCTGTCTGGTAGTGCATGGTGTCTGGTAGTGCGTGGTGTCTGGGAGTGCGTGGTGTGTGGTAGTGCGTGGTGTCTGGTAGTGCGTGGTGTCTGGTAGTGCGTGGTGTCTGGTATATATATATATATATATATATTTATATACCGTATTTAGATATAAGTTTAAATATTTGTTTAATCAATCATGCGAGTGGTGTCTGGTAGTGCGTGGTGTGTGGTAGTGCGTGGTGTCTGGTAGTGCGTGGTGTCTGGTAGTGCGTGGTGTCTGGTATATATATATATATATATATATATATTTATATACCGTATTTAGATATAAGTTTAAATATTTGTTTAATCAATCATGCGCGCGTGTCCATGTCTTTTTATTTGCAACCATTTCAAATTATTTTATGGTACTATATTTCTTTTAAACTTGAGAGCCTCTGTAAGTTTAAGACCCTCGAATCAGAAAGAAACGTAAAGAGTGGGGGTAGGTTGGAGTCATACCTTCTCATGTTGTAGGCGTCACACAAAATGCTCTGTGATGAAAGGTAGGACACCTGTTCGAAGTCTGTTAAGTGTAAAGAGATATAGTCAACATCATTGCCGTGGAACATGAAACTTTCCACTTTTGAAAATCAACACCAATATTCAACAATCAAGTGCGTGATGGACTGAGGCAAATAAATTTGTATGGGTGTCTTTTTAGTTTTAATTTAAAGATGAAAATATTACTGGGAACAAATCTGATGTGTTCAATAGACGTCCAAAATTATATTTCTTCGGATTAAATGATAATTCAAATTGAGATGTCTCGTTGCAAGATAATGTTGAATAGCAGTCTAACTCTTGAGGATTCTAAACTGACCAGTCGGACGATGAAAAATAACCAATGTTAAAGTGTTATATTTAAACATCAAAATCTGGATGATAATCATTCGCAAAACTCTTTTGATGAAAAATTTTAAAACAATTTCTTTTAAAAAATTGACAATTTAAACTTTGCCTTGTGAGCCTTAGACGTAACCTTAGACAGAGCTTTAGTTCCGGAATCATAGAAAAATGCATCTTAAAATGTATTTCTAGTTTGCCAGCGGCTGTTATTAATAACTCAAAAAAAATTATTAACGTTTGGCGTAAAAAAAAAGTTAAATTAAGCTGGAAGTAGATTTTTTAAAATTCGCTTACAGTTTTTGTATGTGATGCATCTCCACATTTCGTTGCAAGGCGCGCAGGCGTGTGGGCGTGCCTCTCCACACTGACACGCTCCCGCCACACAGCATCCACACGTGAGTATCTTCGGGTCGTAGGAGCAGTTGCACGTGCTTGAGGTCGTCCAGGTGAGCTGCTTGGCTGGTACGTGTGTGAGAATGATGATTAAGGAGAATTACATTTTTTTTTTGGTCCTTTCAAAATTTGGTCAAACGGAATGTACACTTCTGAGATCAGGATAGTTGTAGAAGTCAGATATTTATACTTGACGATTATACAGCTCGTACTCTACAAAAAAGTTAACATGTATGCAATACAGAAGCATGGGCATATTGGCGCTATTTCAGGCGCAGAAACAGAGATTGGCGCCCTTTCAAGCGCTGTAACAGAGATGGGCGCCCCTGCAAGCGTTGTAACAGAGATGGGCGCCCCTTCAAGCGTTGTAACAGAGATGGGCGCCCTTTCAAGCGCTGTAACAGAGATGGGCGCCCCTTCAAGCGCTGTAACAGAGATGGGCGCCCTTTCAAGCGCTGTAACAGAGATGGGCACCCCTTCAAGCGCTGTAACAGAGATGGGCGCCCCTTCAAGCGCTGTAACAGAGATGGGCGCCCCTTCAAGCGCTGTAACAGAGATGGGCGCCCTTTCAAGCGCTGCAACAGAGATGGGTGCCCCTTCAAGCGCTGTAACAGAGATGGGCGCCCTTTCAAGCGCTGTAACAGAGATGGGCGCCCTTTCAAGCGCTGTAACAGAGATGGGCGCCCCTTCAAGCGCTGTAACAGAGATGGGCGCCCTTTCAAGCGCTGTAACAGAGATGGGCGCCCCTGCAAGCGTTGTAACAGAGATGGGCGATCCTTCAAGCGTTGTAACAGAGATTGACGCCCCTTCAAGCGTTGTAACAGAGATGGGCGCCCTTTCAAGCGCTGTAACAGAGATGGGCGCCCCTTCAAGCGCTGTAACAGAGATGGGCGCCCTTTCAAGCGCTGTAACAGAGATGGGCGCCCCTTCAAGCGCTGTAACAGAGATGGGCGCCCCTTCAAGCGCTGTAACAGAGATGGGCGCCCCTTCAAGCGATGTAACAGAGATGGGCGCCCCTTCAAGCGCTGTAACAGAGATTGACGCCCCTTCAAGCGCTGTAACAGAGATGGGCGCCCTTTCAAGCGCTGTAACAGAGATGGGCGCCCTTTCAAGCGCTGTAACAGAGCTGGGCGCCCCTTCAAGCGCTGTAACAGAGATGGGCGCCCTTTCAAGCGCTGTAACATAGATGGGCGCCCCTTCCAACGCTGTAAATAAAACATAAAATTGTACCCCGCCTTTACATGTGAGGCTATTTCCAGCTTTTTCCCGCTTTCCCCTTTAAAAAAAAAAAAAAAGCGCAGGCACCACCCTCCTCATTCCCAGCTCCGCCAGCAGACAGGAATGGGAGAGAATACGAATGAAATCCAACAGGGACCATTAGATGTTATCATGGGAAATTATCATATGGTGTAATGATGGGAAATTATCATATGGTGTTATGATGGGAAATTATCATACGGTGTAATGATGGGAAATTATCATATAGTGTTATGATGGGAAATTATCATTTGGTGTTATGATAGGAAATTATCATACGGTGTAATGATGGGAAATTATCATATGGTGTTATGATGGGAAATTATCATATGGTGTTATGATGGGAAATGAACACAATCAAACTGAGACAGAGAAATGCGTTTCTTTAAATGAGAGAAGGTAGAAGAGATTGAGATACCAAACAAAGTGGAACGGTTATATTCAGCGGTAAAAGAGAGGGTCAAGGTCTCGATAATAGAGAATACGGTTGGTGGGCGAGGTAAGGGCTTAAATAACGAGAGAGCGGAGAAACAAAGATGGCTTCCTGGCAGAATGGGTTTGGATGCCAAGTGCGACTGGCGAGGAAAAAGAGGTAAAAAGACAAATCTGACCTACAAAATATGCACAGGTCAGGTTGGCTACCAAAATAATTAAATTTGAAATTTAAAAATGTATTCTCCCCCACTTTTTTTTTTTTTTTTGTACAACACACACATAAGCAAGACTTTCTTACAGCAGACTTTGTTGGGCTTGAGTGACAAGTAGACGGTCGGTGACACGAGGTCAGTTATGTTCGCCCAGCGGTCATTGTAAATAGTCTCCCCTGAGATCACACGGTTGGCGGCTTCTTGAACTTGCGGGTCGGTGAGGTCAAGTGCCAGGGTCACTTCAAGGGTGAAGGGATCGCTGAACGTCAGGCGAGTTATCTTAAAGAATTTTCGAGGAAGTAACAATCACTTGTTATATAATAGGGATGATGTGAACATCACTTATTATATAATAGGGATGATGTGAACATCACTATTACATAATAGGGATGATGTGAACATCACTTATTATATAATATGGATGATGTGAACATCACTTATTATATAATAGGGATGATGTGAACATCACTATTACATAATAGGGATGATGTGAACATCACTAATTATATAATAGGGATGATGTGAACATCACTTGTTATATAATAGGGATGATGTGAACATCACTTATTATATAATAGGGATGATGTGAATATCACTTATTATATTATAGGGATGATGTGAACATCACTTGTTATATAATAGGGATGATGTAAACATCACTATTATATAATAGGGATGATGTGAACATCACTTATTATATAATAGGGTTGATGTCACTATCTCTCATTATATAATATTATTGCTGTAACAATCTCTCATTATAAAATATGGTTGATGTAACTAATCTCTCGTTATATAATATTATCGCTGTAACTATCTCTCATTATAAAATATGGTTGATGTAACTATCTCTCATTATATAATATTATCGCTGTAACTATCTCTCATTATAAAATATGGTTGATGTAACTATCTCTCATTATATAATATTATTGCTGTAACTATCTCTCATTATAAAATATGGTTGATGTAACTAATCTCTCGTTATATAATATTATCGCTGTAACTATCTCTCATTATAAAATATGGTTGATGTAACTAATCTCTCGTTATATAATATTATCGCTTTAACTATCTCTCATTATAAAATATAGTTGATGTAACTAATCTCTCGTTATATAATATTATCGCTTTAACTATCTCTCATTATAAAATATGGTTGATGTAACTAATCTCTCGTTATATAATATTATCGCTTTAACTATCTCTCATTATAAAATATGTTTGATGTAAATAATCTCTCGTTATATAATATTATCGCTGTAACTATCTCTCATTATAAAATATGGTTGATGTAACTAATCTCTCGTTATATAATATTATCGCTGTAACTATCTCTCATTATAAAATATGGTTGATGTAACTATCTCTCGTTATATAATATTATCGCTGTAACTATCTCTCATTATAAAATATGTTTGATGCTACTATCTCTCGTCATTCAATATGATTTCTCTTACTGATTTAAGAGTGAAGAGTTCTCCCCCTGTCAAATAGTGTTTGGTCGGGAATGGCCCCTTAATACTGAGCAATGATTTATTTCTTTATTTTTTTATTTCTCCCATCGTCACCAATGCTTCAGAAACGTTAGAGCCTCGTTAGCATCCTCACAAATTCGTTACCCCTATTACAGACACGCCTTGATGTCATTAGTGAATGGTCTTTGTTTAATGTACATGTTTGAACTTGAATAAAGACATCACAACATCCTTTAAGCCTGAAACTTACTTGGTGTTTTATGGATAATTCTTTTTTTTTTCTTTTTTACAACTGTTTCATTGATACCCCCTGTCCCCCTATTGAAATAAAAACGTAAGGTTACAATGTAAACAAAATTTTTTAATCTCGTTTGCACCAAGAGTGATTGTGCTCAGATTTAGCTGACATAAATAATGTGTCGATTCTAGTTGTAAATATGAATGTATTTAAGAACTGTAACAATGTTAAGTTATAGATATTTTTACATTCAATTTACTTTATTTACAATTTTCTTTTCCTGGTCTTCAAAGCTGCAAACCTGTCAGTTACTTGACCAGATTCAATGTACTTCACAGAATCACTTTCAATTGATGGTAGAGGTAGATAAGAAAGCCTTTACTGTCCCATGGTGGATCGCAAATACTTCTTGATAAGCCTTAGTTTTGAAAAGCTCTGCTCACCTGAAGCCATGAAAACCCATATCGTAAGAAACAATTGAAGGCTAAGCGAGAGTATTGGAAGAGACTCTAGAAAGTCCCATTCAGCTATAAATTTCAAAACATCAAATACTGACCAGTCCTTGAATTTGTGAAATTCAAAAGCAGCTGCCTTTAGTGTCTTCTAAGTCAAGGCATTTCTTTTAAAAGTTCTTCTTCTGATAACCCATAATAGAAAGGTTTTAATTTTGGAACGAACACCAAAAACTCTTCTTCACTTGCTGTTCGTAGACTCTTGGGTTGAACAGCCCCAAACATATCTCCTACTTCTTTGATCACTGATGATCTGATCTGGAGATCAGAATGAAAGCGAACAATGCACTCCAGCATCTCCCTACTGTATTATTCTCACAGAGAGAGTCCATCATCTATTAATTGTTCTCCTGCCATTCTCTTTTTAAACCTTAATCTTCTCTCTACCGAAATTCCTCTATTGAACTGATTTTGAAAGCGCCTTTTCAATAGCATGTTCCACCAAGTGACAGGGCTTCTCGTAGAGAAACAATCTTAAAGATTCTGGTGTGTCTCCACTTTGTCAAGAGTAAAGCCTTCAATCTGCAGTTACTGTTGTGTAAGATTAACTTCCTCAAGTAGATAAGCCCAGAATTTTTAAGGTATCAGATAAACGTGTATTCACAGACATCACGTTAAAGACATTGTGCAGTATGACAATCGTGCTCTAATGTGAAGGGACGGTACTAAAGAGGAAGCGGCGAAAATATTATTTTTTTTAGTATTTTGGTGCTTCGATGTAATTGGTTTCAGAAAACATTTTTTAAATTTAAATAAATTTAAATTAATTACTAAAAGATATTAGAATTTTTTTTAAAATAGTATCT